CTGCAAGGACTATGGTATTCATTTAAAAAAGTTACATTGCACTTCTTCCTGAACTCCTGTGAATTACATATACAGCGTTATTTACTAAAGGTACATTCAGATTACTCTGGTTTTCAAGTACGTCTTGGGGGTGTTACCTTAGCCCAACATCCAGAGGTTGTTACTATTACCTAATTTAATGGTACTCGCTAAAATGCAAAAATTTCTATCACATTGGCAATTTATTTACTAAAGTCAATCGTGCTCAGGATTCTGTTGGTTCGACCGACTCGAAAAATCACCAGTATCCACTTCCGGACTGATTTACAGCACAGGAATTGGACATTTATCAGTGACCGAATTACTGCCAAAGATAAACCGAATGCATTCTACAGGATGCATGCTTGCAAATTATCATTTACTTTTTGCAAGTCGAATGATAAGGTAAAAAGTATTTTCCCACTGGCCGATGCTTGCTAACCAGCCGCAACAGAATATTTTTTACATAAATATACTATGGGAGTAAGTAAGACCCCCACATGCCCTCACCTGTTATACGTCAGGTGGGGGCATGATTTCTGAACATTAAAAACCAGTAAATAGGCAGCCAATGCTGTCCAGTCTCTAGAAAAGGCCAACCCATGGGAATATATAGGGACTACCTTAAACATTCAAAGTGGAGGAACTAGTGTCTCTCCCCCTCAAGCCCTCACTCATCAATGCTCTGTTCGAGCCCTCATATTAAAAATAATTGGGAGGACCTATAATCCAATCCCCTGCCTCCTACCCAATGATGGTGGATGGGGCCCTAAAATTAATAATAAGGGTGGGGGCTTTTGTCCGTTCCACTAGCCCCCAGCTATGGAGGGGACAATATGTTCTCCCCCTTTATTGTCAATATTTGGGCTAACATCCATTGGTGAGGGCCGGGTAACAAGATCCTCCTCCATGAATGTTTAAGGTATTCCCCACCCGATGCACATAGAAACATAGAAACATAGAATGTGACGGCAGATAAGAACCATTCGGCCCATCTAGTCTGCCCAATTTTCTAAATACTTTCATTAGTCCCTAGTCTTACCTTATAGTTAGGATAGCCTTATGCCTATCCCACGCATGCTTAAACTCCTTTACTGTGTTAACCTCTACCACTTCAGCTGGAAGGCTATTCCATGCATCCACTACCCTCTCAGTAAAGTAATACTTCCTGATATTATTTTTAAACCTTTGTCCCTCTAATTTAAGTGGGGGCCTGTTATTTCACACTTTTTCTAGTGACTAGGGAGCAAGGGCTGTTGCCCAATTGCTGTTTCTGTATATTCAGTAGACATGCCCCATAATTAACCCTCTGTCTAGTGAGGGTTATGTGTCTTTCTTTAAATCTGGGCCTGGAGTTGAAGTCTCTGGGCTTGGATTTAATTCTTTAGGTCCGGAATTCAGCAGCCTATAATGGTAATGGTCCTGGATGGATAAAGTGCATTAATAGTTGAAAGTATTCCAGGACCTCTGAAGAAAGAGGACGCATATTCATGTTGACGCAAAAGAATAAATGGTTTGCAATTAGATTAACTTGGGCACTCAAACAAGACAAGTTATTTTTGGTATTTTTAATCCATACAGTACAGATAGCCTCCATTGGAATTATTGAATTATATTATTTCTGTTGACTTTTTTAAGTGTTTATTCTTGATACCTCACGGAAGATATTTTACATTTATGATCCACTCTTACAAAGCTCCTCACCTATCTTAACAGTGTAAATTGTAAGAGAAGTAGCCATTGCTAACATATTCTGGAATATGAAATAGCTCCAAGGGACACCAACAAGTACTAACTATAAGAGAATAATGGTTCTTGGGTCTATGAACAGGACTTGGAGAGCACTGTTAGTGCAGATTCCACATACACACCTGATTGTTAATGTTTCTGTATCATCAAATCTTGAGATTAAAGAGCATGTATCATCAGACTTTCCTACACTTTGGGAAAAGAAAAGTATTAGTGATTTTGTGCCATGTCAATATTATGCCATGTCTGCGATCCATTATAATTACATACATCAGTTTAAGCATCTTCCAGCCTCTAATGTCAAGCTACTATTCTCCTTCAGTACTTAATCTCTGTTTAAATAATGGTACATCGCCCGTCTTGTTTTCTGTCCTGTGGCATGGGGCCAAAGGAAGCAGGGTCCCTGAAGATTAAAAGTATAAGCTGAGCTACTACTGCACTAAGCTCCAGGACAAATTGGGAATGCCATCTAGTCTAGAGAGATTTCACTTATATTTCTCAAGTAGCAAGCGATTATTAGGCAAGATTGTTAGCTGATATATTTGAAGAATTTGCATCTTTCAACACATTGACCCTTTCTATGCTGATCAACCTGAATGAACGATTGCCCCGAATAAAATATAAATGAAAGATGCTTATTGAGACACCTTAAAGAAAGCCCAATCCAATAACAATTATCCAGCATTACTGATTGATTGAATAACGCAAATAAAATAAAATATCCCGGACTGGGGGTCCTAAAAAGAGTATAAGCACATAGCTTCTAAAATCTGTAATAGAACAAAGGTATATAAACAATACAACATCAGAGAATCCTATTGAGAATATAAATCATAGGGTAAGATATTTGGGTGTTTGTCTAAACTAGCTTTTCAGCCCAGGAAGGGAAACCATTATTAGTTGGGCTGATCCCAAATGTTGGTGTAGATGAAGCGCACATAGGGAGGTTTCCCTCCAACATGCCTCTGAGTGGGTACATTTGGCACATGTGTATACTGCCAGAGGGTATACTGCTGGGCAGATCTATCCATGATGTGTTGCACCAGTGGTTTGATTACCTCTTCACTGGTTTCTCCTGAGTGAACTGGAGCCTATTTTTCAGCGGCCAATGTCTGGGGCTAAAATGTTAGGCAACAACCACCCTGCAGATAATGAAAACACAATTTGAGTTGGTATACAAGCAACTGTATGAACACTATGTGACATTATCTGTGCTGTATAAACACCAACTCCAGACAAAATAGTGGAGCGCTATAGGGAATTGTGGACTTACCCTTAAGCAATGCATAAGATATAATAGCCTAAAAAAGTAAACACATATATAGTGCAATATCACCAGTACTTTGCAGTGAATAAAATTCTGATAGTACTCACTCACATTTGTCTGAGCAAAATTGGGACAAGCTCAGATCACGCAAACGGATGTGTACTATGGTGACACTATCCCTCTTCTTCTGTGCCTTGGTGTACTTGAAATAAAGGAAAATGGAAAAGAGATCTAATGCAGTACGTAAATCCAATAAAGTGCACAGTATAAGGAAACTGATGACTGCTCACCTTTTGCAGAGCCTATTATACCTGGCTCTTACTGTGTAGACTCTTGTATTAGTCATGTTGCACTATATATGTGTTTACTTTTTTAGGATATTATATCTTACCCATTGCTTAAGGGTAATTCTACAATTCCCTATAGGGCTCCACTATTTTGACTGGGGTTGGTGTATATACCGCACATTTAAGGTTCTTTGTAAATAACTATGTAAACAAGAGGATATTTACACTTAAGTGGTAGCTGCGTTTAAATATATTTGTTCTATTTCTTGCACATTTTTAAGAGCCTGCTACTCACTTTTGTTACTATGTGACATTATAGCTGCTTGCAGACCCATTTCTTTCATTATGGCAGCATTTTGGGAATCTGAATTCCACAAAATGGGTGCACTAATGTTTTCTATTTTTCTTGCATTTAAGCAGCAGTTAGACAACAATAAGATTATCTATACATATAGCTGATTTCAAATTTGTTTTTAAACAACAATCTGTGTACAGAATAGTTTTTAAATTATTTCATGTGTTAACTGTTCAACCTTTATTTAAAGTCAACGTCTACTTTTTGTACATGAATGTCTATGGCGCCACAACAATGGTGTAGGTTTTTGAGTGCCCAGTTGTTTGCTGTGAATGTTTCCTTTTTTACATGTAAAGGTATTTGAATATTATTGCACTTTTTAAGGTACAGTAGTGTACAGAATTGTTTTTCATGTACCTTGGCATGACCTTTTCATTTGCAATGTTCACATTGTGAGCACAGGGTGTTTTTTTCCTGTGTACAAAAAGGAATTAAAAATGTGTGTGCAACTTGCAGAATGGTTATGGGAATCTATCATGAAATAAGTTATTTGTCTCTTAAAACATATAGGAGGGACACAGTGATAAATCTATTTAAAGCGTCAGCTATTTTAACCTCATGAAATGTTTTATTGTTCACGTATTCCATGTTGACTTGTTCTTGTGACAATCGTATCCCTCCTATCCTTCAAACAAACAAGTTAAAAGTGTGTACATAGGCCAAACTTCAAAACAAAGTTAAAAAAATAATCAAATAATTGTTTTTAATCTTGGCTTCCGATTGTTTTGTACCATAATAAATTATGCATATAAGAAGTACAGAAAACACAGTGAACACATTATTCCACGGTTGCAAAAGTCACAATTATGTACTATAAAAATTTGCACATATTGAAAAACATACAGCAAAATGTGTGTCAGTGAGCTTATCTGTAGTGAGTGTGTGTGTGTGACAGTAGGCTTGTCTATAGTGAACATGTGTGTGTGTGACAGTAAGCTTGTCTGTAGTAAGCAGGGTGGGTGGGGGAGCAGGGGGCACAGTGGGGGAGCAGGGGTAGTGTAGTAGTAGGTAGGAGAGCAAGGGCACAGTGAGTAACTGGGGGAGCAGAGGCACAGTGGGAAGGTGGGGGAGCAGGGGCACAGAAGGTAGCTAGGGGAGAGCGGGCACAGTGGTAGCTGGGGAAGCAAGGGGCACAGTAGTTAAGTGGGGAAGTAGGGGGCACAGTGTGTAGCTGGGGAGCAGTGGAATAGTTGGGCTAGGTGGGGGGAGCAGGGGACACAGGCTAGGTGGGTAAGCAGGGGCACAGTTAGGCTAGGTGGGGAGCAGGGGGCACAGTTAGGCTAGGTGTGGGAGCAGGAACTGCTTCCTGCTTCCCTTAACTTACCAGGCAGAGGGATCGCCTGCCTGTAGTTCTGCCCTGCTTGCAGTGTAGCTCTGTCCCGCTTGTCATGTAGCCCCGCCTCTGATTGCTGCTTGCCGATGCCCTCCGAGGGGAAGATACTAGGGAGCTGTATTCCAGCAACATTGAAGGGAGCGTCACAACGGGCCCACAATTCAGAACTCTTCAACGTGAGGCCCCACGGCATCCAAGCGCTTCTGACGGCCGTGGCCGGTGCTTATATACCACCCACCATCTGCATCCAGCTTGTACATCAAGGAATCTCCAAATTGGTGTCCCTTTTTTGCGGGCACAAGCATGGGAGTCTAACCCTCTGCGTGTATACACCAGCCGCTTGCGTCTCCTCCTCTGCCTCAGTGATGCTGTGTGGGGGACGCCTGGGAGAAACCCCACTTTGCATCTTCGGTCATCAGACCAGATCAGGAAGGCTTTGGCTCGGCGTTTAGGAGTGGCAGGTAAGATTGGAGCTTGGGCGGATACCTTCACCCCAAATTGGGCAATCAGGCAGTCCAAAGCTCGAAGAAGTAGGTCTACTTGAGCAGGTGGCTGAGGGAAGGCCAGTGGAAAAGCAGGCCCTGGTATGGTGACCATCTTGTAGAGTAGGCCTCAACTCTCCCACAATATTGATGTCTTGCAGGTTAGGTTACAAGAGTATACCAGTGGGGACCAGGATATCCCCCTCCGGTCCAGGGAGGGGGGAGGGGAAGGATAGGGCTTCAGACAAGCAATCTGTAAAGCAATGCAGAGGGTTGGCTGCCTCCCACACCTCGAGTATGTTTAAGGCCGCCGAAAAGCTTAACATGGGCTACATCCTCCGTATTCATGCAGTAGCAAGTTCGACGTTCAGTAGGGTATTCCTCAGAAAATATAGCAGGATCAGGGCCGGCCCATCCATAGAACAGTGTGGGGCAATGGCCCCAGGTGGCACTTTGACAGAGACACCACTAAAAGGGCACAAGTGCACAGACATGGGCGCAATGAGGTGGGAGCATCACTCGGGCCAGTCTCTGTGATGTGACCCAAGAGGTGGCCAAGGGTGCCCTCAGAGCGGCGCCTATTCAGCAATGCAGAGTAGGCACCTGCTTACCACACAGGGCAGGTGCCTACTCTGCCTATACATAATGTGCCGTGGGGGAGAGGAAGGCAGCCGGTGGCGAGGGAGCTTTCTCAGCTGTAAGGTTCTTTCTACTCATCTTGGCTCCCAGGCATCTGTGGTCATGCCAGGCACCGGAATGTGACATCATTCCAGCCCCGCATAACTTAACAGTGCGAGGGAGGAGAGAAGAGCAAAGAACATCGAAGCAACTGGACCCCCGGGAGAAGACTCCTAAAGGTAGGGAGGCTTGATGGTCTAAAAAATAAATACATCAACACAATATACAACTGATTTGTGAGTGTGTCTGCAAGAATGAGTAAATGTGTGAATGTGTTTTTCAGTGAGAGTTTGTGTCTGTCAGTAAGAGTAAGTATGTCATTGTGTGTCTATCAGTGAGAGTGTGTGTCAGTAAGAGTAAGTGTGTCTGTCAGTGACAGTATCTGTCTGTGTGTCAGAACTGTGTCTGTCAGTAAGAGTAAGTGTGTCTGCCGGTGCATGTGTAAGCCAAGAGTAAGTGTGTCTGCCAGTATGTGTGTGTGTATGTCTGTGTGTTTGTCTGTCAGTGAGTGTGTGTCTGTCAATGAGTGTGTCTCTATCAGTCAGGAAGTGTGTGTCAAGTCAGTAAGTGTGCGTCTGTCAATATGTGTGTATGTCTTTCTGTGAGCGTATGTGTTTAGGTACTGGTTCCCCTCCGATTGCATGGGAAACCTTTTTATACAGGCCGTGCTGGTCTTGTCGTGGCTGGCCCCACTTCTATGGCTGAGCTCATCAATCTTGATGATCTTAGCCAAGCCCATGCTTACCCAAAGGAAAGCATTGGGAGTCTATTGCACATGCATGGAAAAACACCTGCTGCACCAATCAGCATATACTTTAGAGCTGCATTGAATCAATGCATCTCTATAGGGAATGTTCAGCATCTCCATGCAGAGCGTGGAGACACTGAATGTAGGTAATGCACACTGTAGCAGTGGAATAGGAAGCATCTCTAATGGCTGTCTGAGTGACTGCCACTAAAGGTGTAACTAGGCAATAATGTAAACACTGCCTTTTCATTATAGCTACATTATAGCTACATTATAGCTATAATGGTTCCAGTGATTAGAGTGTCCCTTTTAACCAGGGAAGCCAGGGGACTTGCCATAGAAACATAGAAACATAGAATGTGACGGCAGATAAGAACCATTCGGCCCATCTAGTCTGCCCAATTTTCTAAATAGTCCCTAGTCTTATCTTATAGTTAGGATAGCCTTATGCCTATCCCACGCATGCTTAAACTCCTTTACTGTGTTAACCTCTACCACTTCAGCTGGAAGGCTATTCCATGCATCCACTACCCTCTCAGTAAAGTAATACTTCCTGATATTATTTTTAAACCTTGTCCCTCTAATTTAAGACTATGTCCTCTTGTTGTGGTAGTTTTTCTTCTTTTAAATATAGTCTCCTCCTTTACTGTGTTGATTCCCTTTATATATTTAAATGTTTCTATCATATCCCCTGTCTCGTCTTTCCTCCAAGCTATACATGTTAAGATCCTTTAACCTTTCCTGGTAAGTTTTATCCCGCAATCCATGAACCAGTTTAGTAGCCCTTCTCTGAACCCTCTCTAAGGTATCAATATCCTTCTGAAGATACGGTCTCCAGTACTGTGTACAATACTCCAAGTGAGGTCTCACCAGTGTTCTGTACAATGGCATGAGCACTTCCCTCTTCTACTGCTAATACCTCTCCCTATACAACCAAGCATTCTGCTAGCATTTCCTGCTGCTCTATTACATTGTCTGCCTACCTTAAGTCATCAGAAATAATCACCCCTAAATCCCTTTCCTCATATGTTGAGGTTAGAACTCTATCAAATATTCTGTACTCTGCCCTTGGGTTTTTACGCCCAAGATGCATTATCTTGCACTTATCCACATTAAATGTCAGTTGCCACAATTCTGACCATTTTTCTAGTTTACCTAAATCATTTGTCATTTGGCTTATCCCTCCTGGGACATCAACCCTGTTACATATCTTAGTATCATCAGCCTTACCATCAAGACCTTCTGCAATATCACTAATAAAAATATTAAAGAGAATGGGTCCAAGTACAGATCCCTGAGGTACCCCACTGGTGACAAGTCCAAGCTTCGAATATATTCCATTAACCCTCTGTTGCCTGTCACTCAGCCACTACCCATTACCCATTCAACAATATTGGAATCCAAACTTAAAGATTGTAGTTTATTGATAAGCCTTCTATGTGCAACAGTGTCAAAAGCCTTACTGAAATCTAGGTAAGCAATGTCTACTGCACCACCTGATCTATAATTTTAGTTACCCAATCAAAAAAATCAATAAGATTAGTTTGGCATGATCTCCCTGAAGTAAACCCATGTTGTCTCTGATCTTGAAATCCATGTGTTTTTAGATGTTCAGCAATCCTATCCTTTAACATGGTTTCCATCACTTTCCCCACTACTGAAGTAAGGTTTACTGGCCTATAGTTGCCCAACTCCTCCCTATTACCTTTCTTGTAAATGAGCACAACATTCGCTAACTTCCAATCTTCTGGGACTACTCCTGTTAACAATGATTGGTTAAATAAATCTGTTAATGGTTTTGCTAGCACACCACTAAGCTCTTTTAATAGCTTTGGGTGTATTCCATCAGGTCCCATTGACTTATTTGTCTTTTACAGCCATCCACATAGAGTGAATCAACTTTTTTATGATCTAACACAGGGGTCATTAATCTGGTCCCTACCGCACACAGCACCCCTCACACACACACTGCCTCCCTCACACACACACTGCCCCCTCACACACACAGCACCTTTCACACACACATCACCTCTCACACACTTCACCCTTCATACACACACTTCACCCTTCACACACAAACTACACCCTTGAAACACACTGCACCCTTGACACACACACTGCACCCTTCACACACACACTGCCCCATTACACACACAGCACCTCTCACACACACATCACCTCTCACACACTACACCCTTCACACACAAACTGCACCCTTGACATACACTGCACCCTTCACACACAAACTGTACCCTTGACACACACTGCACCTGTCACATGCACTCACATAGAAAAAAATAGAACAGAAAATAGAAAAAAAAGATACATTTAAGTGCATATTTAAATAAAAACCCTCCTTTCTAAAATAAATTGCACTTGCGCTAAATAATCTAGTTACTGCAGCACCGGTGAGCGGTAAGGAAATTTTACCATCATCAAAGATACAAAAGTGGGCAGTTGGTATTAAAAGGTTGACTACCCCTGATCTAACATAATGGATGGTGTGTTTTGGTGGGCTTGTTAGGTTTGGGGGCAGCATTTCATCCTTGGACCCAGGCAGCACAATGTCTTGGGCCAGCCCTGAGCTGGATTATTGCCCAAAATATAATGTTAATCTCTAGTATGGGGCTTATAAAGGTTTTTTTTTTGTCTGAGGAGCTCTAGCCACATGCGGCTACCTCAGTTGGCAGTCAGGCCCTGCCTCCACGAGCTTGAGTTTTGTGTTGTATTTTATATCAGTGAGTTTTTGTGTATCAATAAGATTGTCTGTCTTTGAGCCTGTGTATCATTGAGCTTGTGTGCTTGTGTCATTAATAAATTGCTGTCCAATTTCAAATAATGGCTTTAGCTTGCAACCCCAAATGATTGAGTCATTTATAAACATAGATATTATATATTATTATTATTTTATTATTTATATAGCGCCATCAGATTCTGTAGTGCTGTACAATGGGCTATATATAAACATACACACGGCACAATGGCTTATGGGGCTGGCATAGATTGTTTTCCAGGGCTGCTTTATATCCCCAGTCCGGCCCTGGCTTTAATAAAGGGATTCAATAAATAAGTAAATACATACAATTATGGGCACCCTGACAGATATACTATAAACTGAATGTTTTTTTGTTTTTGTTTTGTACACAGGATTTCTTTCATGCAACTGACCTCACACAAAGAAAAACAAAGTGTAGAATTGATATGGGAGTTAGTAACATTTAAGTATTTTTTACAAATGGTGAAAAGGATCTAATTTTATTTGGGTGAGGAGGATTAAAGGGTGAG